GTTGGGTATGGAGCTAGCGTTTATATTTTCAGCTTTGATTATAGTTATCTACCTCTTAATTGATGTTATTGAGTTAGTAATTGGTCGGTTTGATGATAGAGCACTTGTTAGATATGGATTTCTAGAGTAAAAGTGCAAAAGCCAGAAATTGGAAACCAATCTGCCCTGTTCTGTCCGGTTCTGGTTGACCATGAGGGAGGCCGAATTAGGATTACCATAAAACATGAAAGTTGTATAGAATTATGTTTTATAGTTTCCTGTAAAATTTCAGCTCAATCCGAGTACAGTAACATGTATAAAGACAAAAATACCCCTGACTGCCATAGGTAGAACTTTAGGGACAGTTTTGACATTTCACCAATCTGACCTTGTCTGTTCACCCTGATGCGTACTAAACTAGCATTTGGTCAAAACACAGAAGTTGTAGTGCTATGTCTTACTTTCCAACGCCCCTAAAAATGTCTTAATCGGAATTCGGTAGCCTGAGTTATTGTCATTTACGCATAGTGCAGTTAACTAGCCCGAATGTGAGATTCTGGTTCTGTCATTTGAAATTTGACCTAGATACACTACGAACTGGACTGAGTGGTCTTCATCAAAGTTGTAGGCCTTTGTCTTAGCTTCGAAACGGTATAAATTTTACCCCAATCCAATAAGTGTAGCCTCGGTTGTGTCTCTTACGCAAAATAGCGTCAAATCTGTCTTTTGTTTCTTGACTCAAACTTCATTTCCGGACATTTTCCTAACTTGATTTTGTACTTGTACGACATTGAGCCTATTGAAATGAGATTATTTTGTGTGTGACTTTGGGACTGTTTGAGGAAAATATTGAAGCCATAAATGGCTGAAAAATAGGTAAACACAAGGGGCATGCCACCAAATTTTCACTAGAGGACTAACCTAGCCATTGGCGTTCTAGTTCTGTATTTTGCAAATTTGACTTGGATACACTGAAAACTGGATTGAGGTGTCTTCATGGAAGTTGTAACCTTTTGTCTAAGCTTCGAGACACTATCTAGCACATGTTGATCCAATAACCACCGCTCCAGTTATGGTCAAAATCGTGTAACCCATTTTGTACCATTTTCATTCCCGCGCAGGCGCACGTGCATTTCTCAACCGTTTTTGCCGTTTTGGACCGTTTAGGACTCCTTTTGTTATTTTGTTACAATTCCGGCCGTTTCGACCAATTTCGACATTCTTTTGGCCTTAACGTCATTTTTGACCGTTTTTGATTACTTTTTACCGTTTTCGATCGTTTAAGTTATAAACTACTATTGTATGGCCGTTTCACTTATGTGTGTATATATTCTGTCAATATAGACTGTGGGGCTTTTGACGGTGACGGTCAAGCTCAGTGAATTGTATCGTTTTTCGTGCCAAGCTTTATCAAGTGAGTAATTGGGTTGTTTATTGATGTGAAATTATCAAAGTGCTTTCTATATGTTAAAAGAGTACTTAGGCGAGGGTGCACTTTATCTCACTCGACCTAAGCCCATCCTTTGTTTTGCTTTCATATGTGCGAATATAAGTCTTATGTTGAGTATCACCCTTTTGTTGTGTGCTGATGGGGTGGTTACATGACTTGAGTTGAACCCCTTTTTGCTGTGTGCTGTTGGGGTAAGTACTTTGTTATGTACTTTATTAAGAGATATCATGTATTGAGAGATTGGATATCTCAGGGCTTGTGATAGCATCATAGTACGTGACCACGTCTACAATGGCTCGAGTGATCAAGGGGGTGAGGATCGCATGCAAGCTCCAAGTGGATCCATTACTAGAGCTCGAGCAAAGAGACTTCGTGAGCAACTCAGTGTACTTATTCAGGCCAGACACAAGTCCTTTGAAGGATTCGTACACTCAAGTGAAGGTGATCGCGGTCCGGTATTGAGCATTGAAGCTACACCTGAGTATTAGGGTCTTATCAAACCCTAGTTAGTGAGATTCGCATTATAGTCATTTAATTCCACATTAGTTGATTAGATTGAATAATTGGCTAAGTGCATGTTGCATATAGAAATGCCAAGGGAAGATTACTTTTTAGTCATCATTATTTGTTAAGGTGAGCTGCCTTGGAGGGAAAGCCCACATGAGGCCCGATCCATCGAGGGCCCATATTAGCACACATTTAGTTCCTTTTCCTTACTAGTTTAGGGTTTACTTGTAGCCTATATAAGGCACCCCATTACTCCCACAAAGGTACACACTTTTATGATAAAAATATTGAGAGAGTTTTCTCCATAGCTTTCGAGCAAACCTTGAACAACTTAGAGTTATACTCTAGTGTTCTTGTTCGGTTTATCAATTCAAGAATCGCACTTGAATTGTGGCGCCTTCTACACTTGCCTGAGGTTCACTAATTCGTTTGATTACGGGTTGAGATAGTATCAACAAGTTCGTAGCCACGGGGATTAGAGGGGTTGTAGGGTTTCCGCTGCCACCGTTTCTTGCATCCGACGTCAAATCCAACAAGCGATATTGGGTCGTGAATCTCCTCACCAACGAGATTCGTATCAGCTGGCATCAGAGCTAGCTTGTTGGTAACATCGTTATCCCTCTTTTCGTGCCTTAATTCGTATCTATCTCGGTAGCTAAAAAAAAAAAAAATTTTTGTGCACGTTGCATTCTGGCCGCAAGTTCCTGGCTGCGAGTTTCCTTTGTTTTCGAGTCTGGTCATCATTGTTTGTTTCTATCTTGTTGTCGTATTCAATTTCTGGAATTTATGGAAGTCAAGTGTGTTGTGTTTGGTTTGGTGGTGTGGATTCCAGCAGTCGCTAAAATCAAAAAAAAAAAGAAACAAACCCACACCGCTAGTGTTCTTATTGTCGCTTCCGTATTGCTGTGTCCGTTGAACCTTGTGCAATCTGTGCCTTGTTATTGCCAATTACTGCTGAGTCTCGGGTGGATAAATCTGGTCATGTCTTGCTGATTGTTTTCTCCACCGCTTGGGACTAGCAAATTGAAGAATCAAGCGGTGCTAGTAACATCGAGTAAACTCAGCCAGACCTGGGAAAATTCTGGGTAGCCTAGACCAGTGTTCATTCGAAGTTGCTGCTGTACAAAAAAAAAATTTTAAAAAAAAAACACAGCAAGCACATTCGAAACAAGAGTGTCTTGCATGCTTTTATTGAATTGAGAAACCCATTCGGCTGAACAACTAGAAAAAAAAAATAAAGAAACAGCCGCTACAAGGGTTCTACACCAACCAGCTTCTAAAACCGAAGGGGCTACCAACGTCATCCTATTTCCTAATTTATAGCCACCACTTGCCCATACTTATCCCCAGTCTTGGTACCCTTTCCAAGCACTTGGGAAAGGATCCAGTCGGCTGAACTTCAAAAAAAAAAAAAAACCAAAAGGGACCGACAAGACCAAGTGGCCCTCCAACTCACTTGTCTTCTATTTGGTAGCCGGTCCTTCCCTGGAGTTACTCCTAAGGTGTGTCCACACCTCTGCAACAAAAAGAAACCAGCACCTTGAGTCAGCTAGAACAAGAGTAAACATTCCACGAAAATCCAGCAAAGCAAAAGGACCAATTTTCTTGTCGGTTAGAGCATTGAGCATCGTTCGTAATTTTTTGTAGCTTTTGTGTCCATTCTTTTTCTCATTTTTACTCTTGAATATATTCTACCACTCCATTCCTAGTGTCCTAATTTTGTTTTCCAAGAAAATCTCTACTCTTATGAATCTCAAATTCTAGCGTGAACTTGATTTTTAAGCTAAATTTGAGCACTTGAGGAGTTCTACTTTCTTCAAGGTTTTGCAAGGGGCTGTGAGAAAATATTTTGGTAAGCTTATTAGAGTGATCTGAGTGACCATACACGAGTGTGAGCGTATACACTTAGGGAGTGAAGTGAGAAAAAAAAAACAAAAAACAAAAAAAAAGTTACTTTTTCCCCTATTTCCTTTTCTTTGCTATTAACCCTTGCAGGTACACTTGAGACTCCATGTCTAGTGGAAACGAAGGAGTATCCCGTCCCATGAACTTTGAACAGATGATGGAGCAAATAGAGAGGCGTTTCCAACGCATGCTAGAACCCATTCAAGATGAGTTGCTGCAACTCCGAGGTCTGGAAGCCAAAAACCTCTAAGTCCATGCGAAGGCGAAGGGACGTGGAGGAGTCGTCCGATGGTTCCAATAATGATGATGATGATGAGGAACCTCGAATTCGACCAAGGCAAAGGAACCAGACTGGACCTACCGATGTATTCAAGGGAATCAAGATGCAAATCCCTGAGTTCAAAGGACGGTCCGATCCCGAGGCCTTTCTCGAATGGTTATCGAAGATCGAAATGGTCTTTTCTTGCCAAAACTACATCGAGGTGCAAAAGGTGCAATTGGCCACCATGGAATTCACTGAGTACGCTGTGGTTTGGTGGGACCAAATCAAGAAGTCTAGAAGGAGGAATGGGCTACCTGAGCTCATTCCATGGCCCGAGCTTCGAGCCATGATGTGCACCCGCTTTGTACCTGGACATTACACTAGGGATTTGTACCACCGGTTACAAACCTTAGTCCAGGGCAACCGGAGTGTGGATGAGTACCACAAGGAGATGGAGATCCTGATGCTTAGAGCGGATGTACAGGAGGATCCTGAAGCCACCATGGCGAGATTCTTGAGCGGGTTACGACCCGATATTGCTGAACGAGTGGAACTTCAACATTACACCGAGTCAACTTGCATGAGCTTGTAGACAAGGCTATTAAGGTCGAGCAAAGGCTCAAGAGGAGGGGTACCACTCGATCGAATTTCGGCAATACCACCTACTCTACCAACCGCCCATTCCAACCAAGGAATGATTCTCGGCCTTCACCAAATGCTCCTACACCAAAGTCGAGATTCGAGGGAGGTAAGGTGGGCAACCCTAGTATTAGTAAGCCGCCCTCTTCTACTCCAAAATTTGAGGAGCCTAGGGTACAAACTAGAGCTCGTGATACTCGATGCTTCAAATGCCAAGGTAGAGGCCATATTGCTAGTCAATGTCCCAATCAAAGGACTATGATTATGATGCAAAATGGTGAGATCGTGAGTGAGGACGAAGCCGAGTACGATGGCATACCACCTCTTGACGGAGGTAGTGATGGGGAATCGCCAAATGAAGAGGAGTTTAGTGCACCCGAGGGTCATTTTGGGACTGCATTGGTTGCAAGGAGAGCATTAACTGCACGTGTTAAGGAGGACGAGCTTCAACGGGAGAACATTTTCTACACCAGGTGCTTCGTCAACCAAGCACTTTGTAGTGTGATTATTGATAGTGGGAGTTGCACAAATGTTGCTAGTTCACTCATGGTGGACAACTTGAAGTTGCCTACAAGGGATCACCCGCGACCCTACAAACTCCAATGGCTCAACAACTCTGGGGAGGTTCGAGTAACCAAGCAGGTTCTTATATCCTTCCAAATCCATAAATATTCTGATGAAGTATTATGTGATGTAGTTCCTATGCAGGCTAGTCACATTATACTAGGTAGGCCTTGGCAGTTTGACAGACAGGTGACTTTTGATGGTGTGACTAATAAGTATAGCTTCTTGTACAACAGTAAGAAAGTCACACTAGCTCTCCTTTCCCCCAAACAAGTGCATGAGGACCAATTGAAATTGCAACAAGAGTTTGAGAAGTATAGTGCAAAAAGGAAAGAAAATGAGAGAGCCGAGGCAAAAAAGGAGAGGAAAAAGGCTATAGATAGCTCGGCAAGTGAGGTAAAAATCGAGGGAAAACAAATGCTCCTGATGAAAGCCAAGAAAGTGAGGAAGTTAATGAGAGATGAGCAGCCACTTCTTATGCTTGTTAGCAAGGAAGTAGCTCTGAATGTGCATGAACTTGATACTGATATACCTCTCGAGGTTAAGTCTCTTTGACAGGAGTACGATGATGTCTTCCCCGAGGACGTCCCAAGTGGATTGCCACCACTTAGGGGCATTGAACATCAAATTGACTTCATCCCTGGAGCTTCATTGCCAAATCGTCCAGCTTACAAGAGCAACCCGGAGGAGACTAAGGAGTTGCAAAGGCAAGTGGACGAGTTGCTAGGCAAAGGATGGGCACGTGAGAGTTTAAGCCCGTGTGCTGTTCCAGTCATTCTGGTGCCCAAGAAAGATGGTACGTGGAGAATGTGCACCGATTGTAGAGCCGTAAATGCCATCATGGTAAAGTATCGTCACCCTATACCTCGCTTAGATGACATGCTTGATGAGTTACATGGGGCTGTGTTCTTTACCAAAATTGATCTCAAAAGTGGGTACCATCAAATTAGGATTAAGGAGGGGGATGAATGGAAAACTGCCTTCAAGACTAAGTATGGATTGTATGAGTGGTTAGTAATGCCTTTTGGGCTAACTAATGCACCTAGTACCTTCATGAGGTTAATGAATCATGTTCTGCGTCCATTCTTAGGAAAATTTGTGGTAGTTTACTTTGATGATATCTTAATTTATAGCAAGTCTTATGATGAGCATCTAGAGCATATTAGGGCTGTTATGGATGTACTTCGAAGAGAGAAGCTCTATGCCAATCTCAAGAAGTGTAATTTTTGCACTAACGAGCTTGTGTTCCTAGGGTTTGTTATAAGTGCGCAGGGAATGAAGGTGGATGATCAAAAGGTTCAAGCTATTCAAGAGTGGCCGACACCACGGTCCGTGGGTGATGTTCAAAGCTTCCATGGACTTGCGGGTTTCTATAGGAGATTCGTGAGGGACTTTAGCACTATTGCTGCACCCTTGACCGAGTTGATCAAGAAGAATGAGAACTTCCATTGGGGAGATTCTCAAGAACAAGCCTTTCGCACTTTAAAGCACAAACTCACACATGCACCTGTACTTGCTTTACCTGACTTTTCTAAGACATTTGAAATTGATTGTGATGCTTCAGGTATTGGAGTTGGAGCTGTGTTGAACCAAGGAGGAAGACCTATTGCCTACTTTAGTGAGAAACTCAATGGGGCTGCACTAAACTACTCAACTTATGATAAAGAGTTGTACGCCCTCATTCGAGCACTACAAGTGTGGCAACACTACTTAAGGCCTAAGGAGTTCGTGATACACACTGATCATGAGTCCCTTAAGTACCTTAAGGCCCAGCACACCTTGAGCAAGAAGCATGCAAGATGGATTGCATTCGTGGAGTCCTTTTCGTACGTGATTAAATACAAGGCTGGTAAGTCTAATGTGGTTGCGGATGCACTCTCCCGAAGGTACTCTCTACTCACCTCATTAGATGCTAAGTTGTTAGGGTTTGAGCTGATTAAAGAGCTCTATACCCAAGATAGTGACTTTGGTGAGCTTTACACTTCTTGCAAACGCACTGGGCAAGGTAAGTTCTTCATTTCCGATGGATACTTGTTTTGTACCAATCGGCTTTGCATCCCACATGGATCACTCCGAGAACTCTTGGTAAGGGAATCCCACTCAGGTGGACTTATGGGACACTTTGGGGTTGATAAGACTCTTGTCATGCTGCAGGAACACTTCTATTGGCCGCACATGAGGAGAGATGTTGCACGGGTGGTGGAACGGTGCTTAGCTTTGTAAGAAAGCTAAATCCAAGGTACACCCGTATGGCCTTTACACCCCATTACCTATTTCTAGTGCACCATGGGTAGATATTTCTATGGATTTTATACTTGGTTTGCCTAGATCCAAGTATGGCCATGACTCCATTTATGTGGTAGTGGATAGGTTCTCTAAAATGGCACACTTCATTGCTTGTCATAAAACGGATGATGCATCTCATATTGCTAACTTAATCTTTAAAGAGGTTGTGAGATTGCATGGCATTCCTAGGACCATTGTATCTGATAGAGATGTTAAATTTCTGAGCTACTTTTGGAAGACACTCTGTTCAAAGTTAGGCACCAAATTGCTATTCTCTACTGCTAGTCACCCCCAAACTGATGGCCAAACTGAGGTGGTGAACCGTAGATTAGGTACTTTGTTGCGTGCCATCATAAAAAAGAACTTGAAATCATGGGAAGAGTGTTTACCTCATGTTGAGTTCGCTTATAATAGGGCTATCCATTCTACTACTGGTTTCTCTCCATTTGAATGTGTTTATGGCTTTAATCCGCTAACACCACTTGATCTAGTGCCATTACCTAGTAATGAGCGGCACATTTGGATGGTAAGAAACGTGCAGAGTTTGTTAAGCAACTGCATGAGAAAGTCAGGGCTAACATTGAGAGGAGAACTGCTCAATATGTCAAGCAAGCTAACAAGGGTCGCCAAAAGTTGATCCTTGAACCTGGAGATTGGGTGTGGTTACACATGCGCAAGGAACGTTTTCCTGAACAAAGGAGAAACAAATTACAACCACGGGGTGATGGACCCTTTCAAGTGTTGGAGCGCATCAATGACAACGCCTACAAACTTGATCTTCCTGGTGAGTATGGCATTAGTGCTACATTTAATGTTTCTGACTTAGCCCCTTTTGATGCAGATGATGCTTTTGATTTGAGGGCAAATCCTTCTCAAGAGGAGGGGAATGATAGCATCATAGTACGTGACCACGTCTGCAATGGCTCGAGTGATCAAGGGGGTGAGGATCGCATGCAAGCTCCAAGTGGATCCATTACTAGAGCTCGAGCAAAGAGACTTCGTGAGCAACTCCGTGTACTTATTCAGGCCATACACAAATCCTTTGAAGGATTCGTACACTCAAGTGAAGGTGATCGCGGTCCGGTATTGAGCATTGAAGCTACACCTGAGGATTAGGGTCTTATCAAACCCTAGTTAGTGAGATTCGCATTATAGTCATTTAATTCCACATTAGTTGATTAGATTGAATAATTGGCTAAGTGCATGTTGCACATAGAAATGCCAAGGGAAGATTACTTTTTAGTCATCATTATTTGTTAAGGTGAGCTGCCTTGGAGGGAAAGCCCACATGAGGCCCGATCCATCGAGGGCCCATATTAGCACACCTTTAGTTCCTTTTCCTTACTAGTTTAGGGTTTACTTGTAGCCTATATAAGGCACCCCATTACTCCCACAAAGGTACACACTTTTATGATAAAAATATTGAGAGATTTTTCTCCATAGCTTTCGAGCAAACCTTGAACAACTTAGAGTTATACTCTAGTGTTCTTGTTCGGCTTATCAATTCAAGAATCGCACTTGAATTGTGGCGCCTTCTACACTTGCCTGAGGTTCACTCATTCGTTTGATTACGGGTTGAGATAGTATCAACAAGTTCGAAGTCACGGGGATTAAAGGGGTCGTAGGGTTTCCGCTGCCACCGTTTCTTGCATCCAACGTCAAATCCAACAAGCGATCTTGGGTCGCGAATCTCCTCACCAACGAGATTCGTATCAGCTTGGTTCCAGCTCGGTTCCAAGGGTAGACGAACTATTCGAGCCAGCCGGGGCTTGGTCGAAGTTAGTTCTATGCTAACCTTAGGATTTCGTTCTTTGTTAAAGCTTTGATGAAAGCTCAGTTTTGCTCGAGCTGCTGTGTGCTGTTGACTGGCCAGCGGGGGTTGATAAGGTGAACGGGGAAAGTAAGTGGAGTTTACAGACCATGAGTACTTTGGTTGACGGAGTGTCAACAGGCGTTCAAGCTCGGGGAATTGAACTGGCTTTGGAGCCACCCGTATCCTACCATTGTGATGTTACCTTTCTGTTATTGATGTGAAATATCTTGATTTACTTGAATGTAAGTTTACATTTTTACCCCTGATTACTCACTAAGCATATAGCTTACCCCGTTCTATTTGTTTTTCTTAGCAGGGGGGGCAGCCGTGGGGATCGCTCGGGAAGGTGTTTAGACTTTTGATTATAGAATAGTTGAATTTGTACTTGTTATAAGTTGAGTAGTAAGATGTATATAATTGTCGTGGTGGTTGTAGTTATCAGCTTTTCTAGGGTTTACTTTTTGGTCGTCGTGGTATGTATGACTTGATGTACTAGTTTATTCAACTTTTGAAACTGTAATAGAGTAAATAGAGCTTTCTTTTGGCGTGAACTCTATTTTCTAGTTTTAAAGCATCGTGTCCTGGTGCGAGCTAGGCAGGCGTCCCATCGATACCCTCGGGTTCGCCCTTGTGAAAAGTGGGGGCGTCACAAAACATTACCAAACACCTCCCTATTCCACTTCTTCAATGCCTTTTTAACCACACATAATTTATTAAAAAACTGTTGCCACCCACCACCTGACACTGGATTATCCAAACTATCCGTTACAATCTTTAGGAAACTAGGACGTTTATGCCATATATTCAAATACCGGAAGGCCAACCGTCTCCTTCGCGTATGACAACATTTAATAAACAATGGAGTGTGATTCAACCTGCCCCTTGGTGAGTGAGACACTCGTGAGATCTCATACGCCCTCCCCCAGTCACTGTTGCACAAAGCTCTATCCAACCGCTACGAAACACGTTCATTGGTCCAAGTAAAAGGCTGACCATCAAAACCATTAGTCGACAGGCCACAATTAAAAATGGCCACATTAAACTTCTCCATATTGCGTTCATTTGCTGGTGCCTCTCCAACCCGCTCCTCTATCAAAAAAATAACATTAAAATCACCCGCTACCATTCACGGGCCCTGTTGCGCTACCGCTAGCTCCTTCATTGCCTGCCATAAGGCACATCTCCCTACTCTTGTACACTTGGCACAGATGGCGGAAAAATATATAACCAAATCTGATTGAAACAAAATTCTCAAATGGACCATTTGCTCCACAAACTCCGTAAAGGTAATAGACTACTCATGAAATCACAAAATCCACTTCTTTCCTTCCAAAAAAACCTGTGCGCTATCAAAATAGAGCATCCGTCTCACTACTTCCAACTGACTCAACTTCGACATTGGTTCAAGAAGAACCAACAATCGAATTGCATTATCTCGACATAATTTATTTAGATAATGTAGCGTATCTCATCGAGAAGCACCTCGAATATTCCATACAATTGCGTTAATTGGATTTGTCATTGGAATGTAGAGAATATTTATTTTGCGATTGAAATACCACTTTTCGTTGCATTTGCTTACATGGTCGCCCAACTTACTTCTTAACTAAATGATTTAATAGCCAATATCTTTTGCATCAACCACAGCTAAATACGGATAACCATCCAGCAACTTCGAGTGGGACATCTTCCAATCAAAATTCCTCCCAAAGTCTTTTAACTGCTGGACAGATACAGTTAATTCCTTAATGTTTCCTGCCGAACCTCCCCTCTTATGCCGCACATGACGCACCCGTGGAGATGATAGTGGTGTTCTAGAGAGCTGCTGTTGCATCTCCGCCCCCTCCAACTCCTTTCCACCAGTCTGCAGGCTGCCTTCCACAAGATAACTCACCCCTCCACCCATCACCTCCTCCACGATCTGAGTAACCCCCACACTTGCATCCATAACTGTAGCTTTTTGTGAGAAGTTTAAAGCTTCGACTAAGCCATTCTTTGCCACATCTATCGACGGGACCATGCCAATATAAGATGACTGTGACAGCCCCACCTCAGCCTAAGGCGAATCAAAGGGTTCGGCGGACCGCCTGCCCAGCTCTCGCCAGGACGACGGAGTCGATTCACATAAACCCAATCTAGTACGCGTGATAGGACTCAAAGAAAATGAACAATCGGAAACTACTAAGGTGAGAACATGCCTACCAAACCATAAAATCATAGTCTCAACGGAATACATTTAATAGACAAGGTTAAACACCTATACATATATTTACATTGGAGTCTTAACGTACAGTGCAATCCAAGATATTCATACTACATAAAATATAATTAGGGCTTCGTTTTCAAAAGAGCTTAACAATATGACATATATATACTAGCTTGACCCTTTTCTTCCAAAATCGTGATTTTCAAGTTTGTCCCCTGTAAGGAAAACAAAGGTAACAGAAAGGGGTGAGCTTACGCTCAATGAGGTACCAAACATATAGGGGTAAAATCATGGCCTTTCACGTTTAACCAATCAGATACATATACCAGATATAAAGGAAAGCAGTTAGACACAGTGATTCAAAGGGAAAGGATACAGGTGGCTCTCAGGAGCCAGATTTCCATTTGCAGTATACTTGATCCGAACCCGTTGACTCTCCGTCAACGTAAATAGAACCAACATATCCGTAGACCCCACTTTACACCAATTTCTGTCCACCAAACATACCCTACCAGGCCCGAACGCCGAACAGGAACAGTAATGGTAATACTCGAGTATACCAGAATCAAGAGTCTCAATATCCAAAGATTCCCAGAACAGACTATCGTGGTTCGTTATCTAATCGACCAGGCCCTTGCTGGCCCGACTTAAGTAACTAGCCACAGGTGTTGAGCTCAGAGGTCACAGAAAGGTCGTTGGATACCAGCCTCCAAACGACGTCCGAACAGACTCAGATACAGATAACATATTATACACAGTAAATAGGCATACAGACAGACAAGAGAACAAGTGTGATAAAGTACACCCTTATCTCAAACAGAATAAACAGATGATACAGTCATTCATATCATAGATTGCAGGTGCGGAAACCAAGTTAAGCAATAAATGAGGGGAGTGGTACACTCACCGGTACAGATATTTCAAAAGTTTTTTACCCAAAGTGGCTTTATAACTGGGCAGAACAGGGGTTAGTTGAAACCCTAATCTGGAATTTTCACACCAAACCAGAAATTTTCCACAGCCAATCATATCCAACATATAACAACTCCAATTTACACTATAACAAACCATCAATCCATGACTAAACAATAAATATATATATAAAACAAAAAAATGTGACAGCCCCACTTTCCCTTAAGGCAAACCAAAGGGTTTAGCGGACCGCCTGCCCAACTCTCGCCAGGACTCACTCGCTCACCACAGTCCTCGAATCAAATACATCCCATAACACAGGGTACAACCTCAATAATAAACGAAATAACATTTTCCCAAGCCTAGCACGTATACGTACATATATTCAAATCTTAAAATAATACAAGCCTAAATAGAACAAAGGTTCTCAAATTTGAACCGTACAAGTACAGTTATTCAATCCCAACCACACACCACATAGACATGAAGGAACACCTTATATATATATATATACATATTTGGAAGCTTTTACAAATCAAAAGTAACATTGGATCATAATACTATCAAGTTGCAACCACAGAGGAGCTATACAAAAAAAAATAACTATACTAGCTCAACTCTTCCTTCAAAACCTTGATTTCAAAACATGGAACCCTGTAAGGAAAACAAGGATAACATAACGGGGTGAGTGTGACGACCCCACTTCTCCCAAGGGTGAACCCAAGGGTATCGGCGGGCCGCCTGCCTAGCTCGCGCCAGGACTCAAAACTTAAAGCAATAAAACTAGATAAATCGAAAGAGCACTATATACAATATATACAATCCCAAAAGTTATATTTACATCTTCAAAAGTCTCGAGTCCAACCACTCTAATACACTATAACCCCAACCAGCAGAAGATAGACCCTAAGAAGGGTTCTTATACAAACCACCAAAACAAAACAAACATCCTAACTGTTCAACTATTACAAGCCAATCTAACTATACTAGTATACGAGCCAAAAGTCCCCGCGTCGGCCCCTGCTAAGGAAAACAAAAGGAAAGGGGTAAGCTATATGCTTAGTAAGTAAACAGGGGCGAAAGCATAAATTCACGTAGCAACAATTACACAATAAGAGTAAAGCAAAAGCAGAAAAGAACAACATCATATAATAAGGATACGGGTGGCTCCAAAGCCAGATCGTT